AAGGGGCAGTGGCATGATTGGCTTGTGACTTAACGACTGGCTTGTCAGAGGCCTAGCCTGGCCGCAGCTTTAAATCTTAAATTATTGATCGATCGCCAGTTTATGGGCACCAAGTGTTTGCGGATCGATAGCCTGGCGTGAGCGCGACTTGCTAGGGCTGTCTGCTCGCGCATCTATTAGGGTGACTCCTAACATTTCCCCCTCCATCCGAGTTTTAATATTTGAGCCACGGGTTCAACTAAAATGAAACCATGTGCTTTCTTTTTCGGTACGATCGTACATAGGTTTGAGATGAACCTGATGGAAATTTCTCCTGTAAAGTAGACATCAGCTTTGCCGCCAGCTGATTTGGTTTGGCAGGACTCGGCCAAGTTGACTGTACACTATTGCAAATGCGGTTGAGTGGCAAAACCAGAAGACCGAGTTCGTCGATCCAGTCGAGGCCGAGTAAAGTAACGTTCGGACGGTTGGTGAAACAGCACTTTCCTTTGAATTGAATGACATCAAAGGAAACGTCTTATTCAAGCTCACCCGTGAGACGGAGAAATCCTCCGGAAACTTTCATAGCCTTATGCGAGAAAATTCGACGTCCAGATAAAATATTCCTTACATCATCCCCGGAAGAGGAAGAAGTAGAGACGATTTCTGGGACCAAAGTGTATTCAGGTTTACGTTTCAAAAGCTCGCTCGCTTCCATCGTCAGAGCAAGGTGTCTGTATTCCTGTGTGCGTCAGATAAATGTAAACGACCATTCGCCCATGTGCCAATAGATTGCACCAATCGATTTTCGTGGCTGTTTGAATTGCTCGCGTCGTCGTGAGCTGTGTCAAGACATTTTTATGACTAGTGAGCGTTTCCACCCTCTTTGCTCGCGGCTGCCGGCTTTCGGCCCTGCTTATCTATCTCCGCCCGACCTATCGCTCCGTTCTGAGCCGAGGTTAGCCTTTTGCGGAGCGCTTGGTAGGCAGGATGAAGGTCCATGGTTCTGTTTAGTGTGCCAGTCGATGACCAACTTTCTAGCAGCAATCTGGCCATCTTGTCGTTGGCTCGGCCTATTACCCTTGCTTTTTCAAAGGCAAATTTGTGTTTCTTCTACTTTACGTGGTCACAGACCACAGACAGCTTAGCCTCGCGGCTGATTGCGAGCTGATGTTCATGCAACCTTGTGCCAAGGCGTCTGCTCGTTTCACCGACATACCTTGCAGTGCAGTCTTGACATGGTATACTGTAGACCACAGCTGATTGTTCTGTCAAAGGTAGCGGGTCGTCTCCTCTTTTTCCTTTTCCGGGGACGATGTAAGGCATATTCATAGCCTTTTTGTCCGATGTGATTATCAGAGGCCATCCAAGCATCTGCAAGTGCGTTTGGCGATGAGGCTAAGCACAAGCGTCGTTCTAGCCATCCGCGAAACTTTGATTCTGTAAAAAATGGCTCTTTACCTAATATGCATGCTTAAAATTGTTTTTTTGCTGCCTCTATACATGCAAATATGTTACATGGAAAACATGCACAGAAATAATCTTAGCTGTACTCGTTTGGTAACAACTTAAGTCTTCTGTAAAAAAAGTTTCAGCCTTAACAAAAACTATCTTTCGGTTGAAAAAAACCTGCAAAATTTCTGAATAATTTTGGACTCTGTCGCCCGTCACACCTGCATTCATGGTTAAAAAAATAACAGGATGTATATATTCTGTCTGAGGAAAATCAGACAAATCGCTATGCCATGATGAACGCTGATTATCTTGCATTTCTGAAGATGTGGACTATCAGTCCTCGACTTTTTCCTTATACGTCGTGAAAAAACTTCCAATGAGGCAGCTTAAGGAAGTTGATTGAAGACCAAAAACCGTTCTTTTTCGATGGTGACGTATTTATGCTTCTCACACAGAGTCTTAATTATGTTGCTCATCCAGTTCACTCTGAATTAATGGCTGCAAAGTCTTTACGCACTATGGCATTGAAGTTTCAGACATGTGTCCGGCCGTACATTGGCATATCAGCGTTCTGTACTCCCACTCCTACCATGCTACCTCACGTGTAACGAGACGGAAATTCAGATGTTGAGATTATACCTGTCTCTACAATAGATGCGAATTTTGGGTAAACCTCTAGATTTGGTCTCAATGAATGTAGCCATTTTTGCTGAAGCGCTTCAAAATAAAGTGCATTTCTCTGTCTCTTATATGTAAAGTACATATCGTCCGCGGCAAATCATGCCAACCCCCTGCTTTCGCCGTAATATTCAATCACGGTCGTTATCTACGCTTTATACTGACGCCGATTTGGTACTTACGTAGAACACTTCTTTGAATTACGGTTTCTGGAGAAATAACGTCAATGGGTTGGCTGTAAAATCGAAATATCCCTAGCGACGCTTCAATTCTTTACCTTTGACTTAATGTTTAGAAGAACGGAACATTGGAATACTTCAGCGTCTTTGTTAAGCTGCAAATGTTGCCTTCATGTCAGTCATATTCGTTCAGAAAATTTAGCTGCAAACGCGGTGTCTAAAGCAGGTAATTAAGGAAAATTTGATTCTGAATCCATTTACGTCGGTCTTTCTAAACGTGTACGAAATGTATCACGAGGTCGGCATTTAGACTACACTGATCTACCAGTGCTCCGACATATTAACATGACAGGTTTTTCCCTTTGGTATCAAATAATCAAAGGAAAAGGTTGCTTAGATAGTAACTTTTTGCCAATATGCTAAATAGGCTACCCATTTGCGAACCCGACCTCTTACTTATATGAAAAGATATCTCACAAAAGCCTAGCTCCGGTGCAAATGCGCGCTGTGAGACGTCTTCAGCGGTGCAACTGTGCTCACTAATACGCTGCCACCAGTCAAACGTAAAGAGCCGTCCTCCTGCAGATAAAAGTTTATAATTCAGTTCAGTAAAATCCTAAAAAGTGTTTTGAATTTGTTATACCTCTTTTTTATGTCATGTATAACTATTTAGAGACTCGACACCATTATATTATCCAACAAAAGCATATTAAATCCTTTTCATCAAAAAAGTCGAAGCAATAGGCGTGTGACCAAAACCACATATGTTGGTAGTTGGCTTTATTATCGATAACAAGCCCCAAGTAGTGCCTGTTCGACTATTGTCATTTAACGTGGCTTTAAAACGAGAAGTTATAGCGGCATGTCGGAAAATTCCCGTCGTATCTTTCCGATATAAAAGAGCACAAAAAAGGAGAAACTATATATTATTAATTTAAAGTAGAACGTAGAAAACACTGTTAAACGCAAACTCTAACAATCCGGAAGTCGACGGTTAAGCGTAGCTTTTAATAACCCTGTGAATAGTTGCACATGCCTGGCGCATCTGTTCTTCGGTTATAACCAGAGGCGGCGCAAATCGAATAATATAGTCATGTGTCGGCTTCGCGAGAATGCCACAATCACGAAGCTTAAGACACATTTCCATGGCATTGTAGGCTAAAAAGAAAACATATCACGCTTAGGCGTACAATTGATGAACAGAACTCAAAAATAATCTTCAGACTAGATGAAGAAAATACCTGGATCGATAACAAGGGCGTTCAACAGGCCTTTTCCACGGACACAAGGGACAACAGACTTGGGCAGGTCGGCCATTGACTCGCGAAATATCTTGCCCATTTTTTGCGCATTCTCCGCAAGATTTTCTTCTTCCATAACCTACAAAATAATAAAAATTAAACAGAATATTAGTGTAAACCGGGCATAGCAGTACCGTTGCCAATATTTTCAAAAAAGAGGTGAAATCTGCATACCTGAAGAGCGGCCATTGCAACCTTGCAGGCGAGAGGATTTCCACCAAACGTTGATCCATGCTCGCCTGGTTTAATCGTAAGCATGATCTCGTCATTAGCGAGCACCGCGGATACCTAAATACAAAAATTTTTCGTACACAAATAAAGAGATCTAAGCGTAAGAAGTCCCAAAGAAGTAAATATTTAAAAGTCTAAGACCCACAGGAAGGACGCCGCCAGAAAGAGCCTTGCCCAGAATGACAATATCCGGCTTCACGTTTTCGTGGTCACAACAAAGTCGTCTAAAATATAAGAAAATTGCATAAATGAAACGTTTGCAGTTAAAGCATTCGTACGGGTAGAGCATAACGCTAGCGAAGAAAAATGGCTTCAAGGCATGACTTCAGTAAATACGATGGGACGATTTTGGATAATAAAAAGGAACAAGCCTCCCCTTACCGGCCCGTGCGAGCGAGACCAGTTTGCACCTCGTCAGCAATAAAGAGGCAGTTGTATTTTGTGCACAGCTCTCTGACCTTTTTAAGGTAGCCATCAGAAGGTACACGTACACCAGCCTCGCCCTGAATTGGTTCTACCATAAATGCGCATGTGTTGGGATTCTTCAATTTTTCCTACAAAAATCAATTATTTTTTATCTCAAGAGCTAAAACGTAAAAACAATTATGGTCAAACTGCGGCCACTTAAATACAAACAAACAGAAAACACACCTCTAGCGCTTGAATATCATCGTAAGGTACGATATCAAAGCCCGGCATGAATGGTCCATAATCGCCATAACAACTGGGATCAGTTGAAGAAGAACAAGCAGCGAGGGTTCGACCCCAGAAATTTTGCTCAGCAAAAATGACTCTTGCTTGGTTTTGAGGGACACCTTTCACCTTGTAGGCCCATTTGCGGGCCAGTTTAAGCGCAGTTTCTCCACCTTCGACGCCTATTAAATAATGAATAGTTTAAAAACTAAAAACTAGGGCATTATTTTATGTATCCATTGATTCAAACCGTAGGCCGAATGGGACTTCGGGACTTCCAAGCAATATTTTATTTCTAAATTAAAATCTCGAGGATAATGCGAAATGTTCTGGAATCTATAAGGTAGCCTGAAAATGAATAGAAGAGGATATGTATGCAGAAAAATAAACAGGTATCAGAACGTTGATGGAAGACAAATAATTTTGGGGGGAACTAGGGAGCCGGTAAATTATTTTTAAATGATATACTCCGCTGGTTTCTCCTCTTATTATTATTATTATTATTATTATTATTATCGGTTTTTAACACTCAATGCACACAAGGTTTGTGATATGCACAATAGACTACGAAAATGTAGTGAATATAGACATTAACAGAAAAGAGGAACCTCGGGGGCGGAACGTAAAATCACAGGAATTGAGGACCGTAAAGAAGAATAATATTACTTGTCTCTTCACAAAAACTCATGGGATTCTCAATCATCATATAAAAATAGATTAAAATTATCAAAGACTTGCCTGTGTTCATAGGCAAAACCTTGTCATAACCGAACAGCTTGGTGATGTAGCTTTCATACTCGCCCAAAACCTCGTTGTAAAAGGCTCTGGAAGTGAGAGTAAGTTTCTTGGCTTGTTCAATTAGTGCTTCAATGACTTTTGGGTGACAATGGCCTTGGCTCACAGCACTGTAAGCACTCAGAAAGTCGATGTATCGGTTTCCATCCACATCCCAGACGTATGCACCTTAACAAGTTATTATATGGACTTAGAAATTACCATCGCCCTTGCATAAGGCTACCTCCAATGGATGATAGTTGTGAGCACCATATTTGTCTTCCCTCTCATAGACGGCCTTCGACTTCGAGGTTTGTTTACGCAAATCCTGAAGTGACGAATAATGATTTATTAACAAAAATTGCATTTGCGGCATGTATGGAATATATAAGCTTATTTTATCAAGGCATAGTGAGAACATTTGCATTCACATGAAGAAATCTTGTCAAGATAATGCTGAAAAGCGGGTAAGAGTATAATATAATTCTTAATACTATTGAAACAAAACGTGTAACCCTAGTATAGTATACTATGATATACTAACGCCAGACATCGCGAATACACAAGATCGTAAAGAATGTGCAAAGGGCCGCGTTTTTATAGTAAATTAAGTTTGGCACATTTAAAGAAACATTGGGTCTAATTAAGGAATCCGCGAAGACTATTAAAATCGTTCACTAGACGAAATAAATACTGAAGAGGATTGATTCACAAATTA